TGAGTGAGTGAGTGAGTGAGTGAGTGACCGCTGTAATTTTTGAGTGAGTGAGTGAGTGAGTGAGTGAGTGAGTGAAAATGAGTTTGAGTGAGTGAGTGAGTGAGTGAGTGAGTGAACATCCGTTCCCAACAGTGAGTGAGTGAGTGAGTGAGTGAGTGAAATTATCATGAGAGAAGTGAGTGAGTGAGTGAGTGAGTGAGTGAGTTATTGAGCAGCCAAGTGAGTGAGTGAGTGAGTGAGTGAGTGATCACAAATTTTATTTAGTGAGTGAGTGAGTGAGTGAGTGAGTGATACTGACAGTAGATCAGTGAGTGAGTGAGTGAGTGAGTGAGTGAGAAGTCTTGCAAAATAGTGAGTGAGTGAGTGAGTGAGTGAGTGAGTTATGAAAACTTGTAGTGAGTGAGTGAGTGAGTGAGTGAGTGATTGAAATAAAGATTTAGTGAGTGAGTGAGTGAGTGAGTGAGTGATTTTTTTTTATTTTGAGTGAGTGAGTGAGTGAGTGAGTGAGTGAACTCTTTTTGGCAGTAGTGAGTGAGTGAGTGAGTGAGTGAGTGAGCATACATAGTCTCCAGTGAGTGAGTGAGTGAGTGAGTGAGTGAGAACTTCTTGCTGTCAGTGAGTGAGTGAGTGAGTGAGTGAGTGAAAAAGGGGAGACTGTAGTGAGTGAGTGAGTGAGTGAGTGAGTGAATCATTACACACAAAAGTGAGTGAGTGAGTGAGTGAGTGAGTGAAAGACCAAAACTGGAAGTGAGTGAGTGAGTGAGTGAGTGAGTGACCACTTGGCTAGAAAAGTGAGTGAGTGAGTGAGTGAGTGAGTGATCTGACCAGAAATTGAGTGAGTGAGTGAGTGAGTGAGTGAGTGAGCATTTTATGGTATTAGTGAGTGAGTGAGTGAGTGAGTGAGTGAAGGCTGTAGTCTGCCAGTGAGTGAGTGAGTGAGTGAGTGAGTGATGTTTTTTTGTAAAAAGTGAGTGAGTGAGTGAGTGAGTGAGTGATGGACTACATTATAAAGTGAGTGAGTGAGTGAGTGAGTGAGTGACATGGTGCTGTCACAAGTGAGTGAGTGAGTGAGTGAGTGAGTGAGTCTGCAGTTCATAGAGTGAGTGAGTGAGTGAGTGAGTGAGTGACAATGCTAATTTATTAGTGAGTGAGTGAGTGAGTGAGTGAGTGACCACTGGAAAGAACAAGTGAGTGAGTGAGTGAGTGAGTGAGTGAAGCATGATTCGATGAAGTGAGTGAGTGAGTGAGTGAGTGAGTGACGRCAAAATTTACAAAGTGAGTGAGTGAGTGAGTGAGTGAGTGAAGGTTGACCTTGACTAGTGAGTGAGTGAGTGAGTGAGTGAGTGAAAAATTCAGTGTTTTAGTGAGTGAGTGAGTGAGTGAGTGAGTGACAGATTATTTTCAAAAGTGAGTGAGTGAGTGAGTGAGTGAGTGACTTTCCAGTGATGTCAGTGAGTGAGTGAGTGAGTGAGTGAGTGAATTTCGAATTATCCGAGTGAGTGAGTGAGTGAGTGAGTGAGTGATCCTAATCCATTTAAAGTGAGTGAGTGAGTGAGTGAGTGAGTGACTAAAGTTTTTCATGAGTGAGTGAGTGAGTGAGTGAGTGAGTGAACAATGTCTTGATATAGTGAGTGAGTGAGTGAGTGAGTGAGTGAATGAGGTATATGTGGAGTGAGTGAGTGAGTGAGTGAGTGAGTGAACTGCAATGTAAACCAGTGAGTGAGTGAGTGAGTGAGTGAGTGAAAAATAACTATTGACAGTGAGTGAGTGAGTGAGTGAGTGAGTGAATGACTTGTGGCAAGAGTGAGTGAGTGAGTGAGTGAGTGAGTGAATACCACTTGTTAGCAGTGAGTGAGTGAGTGAGTGAGTGAGTGAGAGTGGCTTTGCTATAGTGAGTGAGTGAGTGAGTGAGTGAGTGATATACCAATTTAGGCAGTGAGTGAGTGAGTGAGTGAGTGAGTGACAAATTTCCTTGCGAAGTGAGTGAGTGAGTGAGTGAGTGAGTGAGGCTGTTAGAGGAGAAGTGAGTGAGTGAGTGAGTGAGTGAGTGAACCCACATTTTTATAAGTGAGTGAGTGAGTGAGTGAGTGAGTGATTGGAATATTATTTTAGTGAGTGAGTGAGTGAGTGAGTGAGTGAGGACTACGGTAACAAAGTGAGTGAGTGAGTGAGTGAGTGAGTGATGTAGTTATAGTTTTAGTGAGTGAGTGAGTGAGTGAGTGAGTGACAACCAAAGCCAGAAAGTGAGTGAGTGAGTGAGTGAGTGAGTGATTTAGCCCCAACAGAAGTGAGTGAGTGAGTGAGTGAGTGAGTGAGATTTGTAATAGATCAGTGAGTGAGTGAGTGAGTGAGTGAGTGAACTACATTAGTTAAGAGTGAGTGAGTGAGTGAGTGAGTGAGTGAGTTACGGCAAAATAAAGTGAGTGAGTGAGTGAGTGAGTGAGTGACTCTGTGTTAGCCTCAGTGAGTGAGTGAGTGAGTGAGTGAGTGAGAATAAGAGTGTGAGAGTGAGTGAGTGAGTGAGTGAGTGAGTGAACAAATTCCATGCATAGTGAGTGAGTGAGTGAGTGAGTGAGTGATATGTTACTTGGTTTAGTGAGTGAGTGAGTGAGTGAGTGAGTGAGAAATTGGAGTATTGAGTGAGTGAGTGAGTGAGTGAGTGAGTGAATGTCATCACCTTGTAGTGAGTGAGTGAGTGAGTGAGTGAGTGATCTGCAAAGTTAAAAAGTGAGTGAGTGAGTGAGTGAGTGAGTGATGACATCCTTTGATGAGTGAGTGAGTGAGTGAGTGAGTGAGTGACATCCACCATTTTTGAGTGAGTGAGTGAGTGAGTGAGTGAGTGACTTTTTTCCTCCTAAAGTGAGTGAGTGAGTGAGTGAGTGAGTGAACCACTAGGAGCTAGAGTGAGTGAGTGAGTGAGTGAGTGAGTGATTCCCATTCTCCCTCAGTGAGTGAGTGAGTGAGTGAGTGAGTGACATGACACTTAGGGAAGTGAGTGAGTGAGTGAGTGAGTGAGTGACATTTCATGATTCTTAGTGAGTGAGTGAGTGAGTGAGTGAGTGAGATCTCCTTCATGGCAGTGAGTGAGTGAGTGAGTGAGTGAGTGACGAGGGTGTGCATCTAGTGAGTGAG